TTGAAGGATGGACAGGAGCCTCTGAATCAGGAAATAGTACTCCTTGAGAAACCAGCGAAGCAAAGATGTGGGCGTGTGACATGTCAGAGCAAATATATGAAGTTTGGTTCATTTGGTACTGTCACCCTGTGGCTGAAATCATCAGTGGATGGAAATGCAAGTTAACAACTATGTAGGCTTATCATATCCATTCTCCCTGAATGAGTCTCCATGGTAGCTGCTGTGGCATTGGAGAATGGTTGTATTAACACTACGGCTAAATGGGCTGTGTGTCTTTGTCTGCTGCCTTAGACTTGGCCAGTGGACAGACTCACCATTGTTCCCTCAAGCTTCCATGAATCATTGGGGCCTGCTGGCACCTTGCATTTATCTATTTATTTGTTTGTTTATTCAGTATTTGGTTTTGACTCTGGACCTTTTGCTTGCTAGACAGGTACTCTACTTCTTAAGCCACAACCTTAGCCTGTTTGGGCTTTAGTTATTTTTCTGGTAGGATCTTGCACTTTTGCCCAGAGCCAGCTTGGAATGTGATCCTACTACCTATATGCTCCCATATACCTGGGCACGTGCCACCATGTCCAACTTATTAAATGAGATGGGGTCTTCTTAATTTTTTGCCTTTGCTGGCCTGAAGCCACAGTCCTCTGGATCTCCATCTCATAAGTAGCTGGAATTATAGGTGTGAGCCACCACACCAAACCTATGCTTACACCTTCTGATAGACAGTCTTCTCATGGGGCTTTCAGGGAAGCTGCAGGGAAGGCCTGGCCCTTCTCCAATTATAGATGGTTTGAGGGGGGAATTTGCAGAATATAGGCAATGGGTCCCATGGAACAATTCTGCAGAGCCAGTTGCTTCTTTGATTCATTTTGTCCCTTTATCATCCTTAAGCACCTGGCCTGTGCATGCACTTCCCCTTGGATAACAACTGTCTAGTCAGACTCATCCACCTTCCAGTACCCTGTAGTTTGCCAAGTTCACCCTACATTGGGCATTCCCAATCCCAAGCTCATCATTCTCCTCTAGTGTACCTTTCTGAATGGGACCCTGTCCCAAAGTTACTGCCATTAGCTCAGGAATGTCACTGTTAACCCTCTGCTTTTCCTTGCCCCTCTTTATCATGGCTAAGATCTCTGCCCCCAACCAAATCCTTCCACATTTAGCTTCCTGTCCTCTTCCTTGGATACAGTGTCTTATCTCTTTTGTGTTACTAAAATGGACTACCACGTACAGGGTAATTTATTTTAAAAAGTAGAGAATTATTGGCTTATGGTTCTGGAGTTTGAGAAATCCAATATCAAGGTGCCAGCATCTGCCAAGGCCATTTTTGAAAAGACAGGAGGGCAGAAGAGGGTGAGAGAGAAGAGGGAGCTGAACTTGTATTTTTTTTCTTTTTGTAAGAAACCCATTCTCACAATAATAGCATTAATCTATCTAGAAGGGTGGTGTCCCATGACCCAAGGTCTTTCCTTTTCCCCCGCCACACTACCTCTGTGTCAGAACACATGGACTTTGTGACACACATTCATACCTTAGTCTAACATGTTAATCACATCCTCATTTCACATCTGATACCCTTATCTGTACACAATCCACCACCCATCTATCCATTCACTTTAACATTAACCTTTGCTACATTTCAGGTATTGACTTATAAATCATGGGACTATCCATTTGAGCACAACTGACAAGATCCTTAAGTTCCATCAGGTAGGATATAAACTGGCAAATAGGCAGTTGGTTCCTTGTGATATTTATGATAAGTGCATAGTTTTGGGATTACTGTCATACAGGAAGGGCTCAGCCCTACACACAGATCATTTGCAGATGGTGGCCGACCAACTTGACCCCATGTTGAATAGCGGGGGGGCGGGGAGCTGGAGGGTGGGCAAGTCTGAGTTCCATAAGAGCATGGATAATGAGTCTTTCTCATCACCATGCTCCCAGGATCCATCTCATTGCCTGGCAAATGTGTATGTTCAATAAGCATTTGCTGAATGAGTAAATGTGAAAAGAGTTCCTGCAGAACAAACCAAATGTGCAAAGGCCAGGGTGGAGATAGCACAGAAGGTTTGGGAAACCAAGCGAATGTCTGTTTGTCTGGCACCTAGGACAGGGGAGCTGCCATGCAGGAGGCTGTGCTAAGAGGCAGGCCATTCTGTGCTCTACACCTAACTGAAGTCTGGACTGTTTAATTTAGACATTTGTTGCACTGCCTAATGTGCACACTCTTCTCCCATCTTCTCTGTTTCTGATGTCTCTGCTGAACACTTCCTTTCCCTACTCAATTCTGATGCAGCCTAACCTGAGCCATAGACCCTTCTTGCCCTCTGTGAAGAGCGACTCTCTCCGCCCGCCCCCCACCCCTTGCCTCTTGTCAAAATTACTCTTATCGAGTAGGAAATACTCTGGAGTTAGTAGGTATAGGTAAGAACTTACTCAACGAAACCCCAGCAGCACAGCAACTAAGAGATAGCATAGGTAAATGGGACCTCATAAAACTAAAAGCTTCGGTTCATGAAAAGAAAAATGGTCTCTAAAACTGAGAGAACACCCACAGAGTGGGGAAAATATTTGCCAACTATACATCAGACAAAGACTGATAACCAGATATACAGGGAACTTAAAAAACTAAATTCTCCCAACACTAAGGAACCATAAGAAATGGGCAAGTTAACTAAACAGAACTTTCTCAAAAGAAGAAATTCAATATGGCCAAAAAACACATGAAAAAATGCTTCACCATCTCTAGCAATAAAGGGAAATGCAAATTAAAACCACATAAATTCCACCTCACCCCTGTTAGAATAGCCATCATTCGCAACACCACAAACAACAGGGGTGGTGAGGATGCGGGGAAAAAGGAACCCTCTTACACTGCTGGTGGAATGTAACTAGTACAACTGCACTGGAAAAAATTTGGGGTACTTAAAAAGCTAGATATTGATCTACCATTTGATCCAGTCTCCACTCTTGGGGATATACCCAAAAGACTGTGACACAGGTTACTCCAGAGGCACCTGCACACCCATGTTTATTGCGGCACTATACACAATAGCCAAGTTATGGAAACAGCCAAGATGCCCACCACTGACGAATGGATTAAGAAAAATGTGGTATCATACAACAATGGGAATTTTAGCAAGCCATAGAAGAACGAATGTTACCATTTGCTGGTAATGAATGGAATTGGAAACTCATTCTGAGTGAGGTTAGCCTGCCCAAGACCAAAAATCGTACGTTCTCCCTCTTATGTGGACATTAGATCAGGGCAAAACAATGGGATTGGACTTGAGCACATGATAAAAGCGAGAGCACACAAGGAGGTGTGGGATAGGTAAGACACCTAAAAATTGCTAGCATTTGTTGCCCTCAACGCAGAGAAACTAAAGCAGATACCTTAAAAGCAATGAGCCAATAGAGAAGGGACCAGGAACTAGAGAAAAAGTGAGATCAAAAAGAATAACCTAGAAGGTAAACACACGTACAGGAATCAATGTGAGTCACTCCCTGTATAGATATCCTTATCTCAACCAGCAAAAAACCCTTGTTCCTTCCTATTATTGCTATACTCCTTCTACAACAAAATTAGAAATAAGGGCATAGTTTCTGCTGGGTATTGAGGGGTAGCGGGGGGGGGGGGCGGAGTGGGTGGTAAGGAGGGGTGGGGGCAGGGGGGAGAAATGACCCAAGCCTTGTATGTACATATGAATAATAAAAGAAAAAAGAAAAAAAACCTAGAGCCCTACAGCTGGAGTTTCACTAGTATGCAATCAAAATCTTAAAAACAAAGAGGACCATGACCTCCATGTCTTTGTAAGGTCCCTCTCCTTAAGGAAAATTGTAGACAACTGTACCAAACCCAGCTCACCTTAAAAAAAAAAAAATTACTCTTATCCTTCAAGGCACTGCTTCCCTCTCCTCCCATACATCCTTCTGTCCCAGGCAGAATTATCCCCTCATTTTCTTTGCTTCCATAGAACCTTGTGTTCTTTTGTGACCATCATATTCTGTCTCAAGTTCATTTATACCTGTGGATCATCTGACTACTATCAGTACCATGAGGTCTGGGCCTGGTCATTCCCATCTGTGGATTTGTTTATTTACAGTACTCATTAAATAGCACTGTAGATCAGATTGTTATTTTTAGTAGCTTTTGTCATGCAGATCCTCCATAAGGCATAGTTGCTATTTATTATTGTCCTGTTTATTCTTGGTATGTCATACATTGTACTCATTATCTCATTTAGTCAACACTGTAGTCTTATGGCAGTTTTTTCTCAATATTTTGCATCACAAAGAAGTAATAGTGCTGAAGTATAAGTGACAGGCTCAAGGCTGACACTAATAAATGCCAGAATTGGTTTTGGAATCCATTTCCATTTGCCTCCAGAAACTTTGCTCTGGTGTCAAGAAGTTGGAGTGTGACCCAATAAGTAAGTCCTGGTTGACTCCTGGCAGTTGAATTAATAAAAGCTGTAGAAATACTAAAAACGAGGACAGACTGATATCCATGATGGGGCCTCCAGATGAATCCAGTGTGAAAGCCTGGCTATCTTTTGGAAAAACACAACTTTCTCTTGTTCTAGGGCAGAGGTGTCTTGGCCACTTCCCACAACCAGTCTAGAGATGTGGTCTGCTGTCAACGTGTTTCTGTGTTAATGCCAGTGTCTGGTTGGTAGATAGAAAGATTGGCCAAGTTAACACTCATGCTCTATTTCTGATTTTTAAAACATAATTGTCTTAAACAGGTATGAGGGTTGGCTTACATTAGATGTCACCAGCAACTTTACTTTCTGTGGTGCTTGGTTATCTCCTATATGAAATGCTGAGGTTGAGGGAGAGGGCCTCTCCAGGAAGTACCGTTGGGTCACATAACTAATTTATTTTCACCATTGCTGTTGGAAACCAGCCCTACCTCAGCTGCAGAGAAAAGGGAGTATTTTTGCAGCTGGACTCACAGGCCTTAACTCCCTGGACCTCCTCCTTTTCCCCCACAGGCGGAACCCTCTACACTTCCACCTCATTGCTGACTCCATCGCAGAGCAAATCCTGGCCACACTCTTCCAGACCTGGATGGTGCCTGCCGTACGTGTGGACTTCTACAACGCAGATGAGCTCAAGGTACAGGCAGGGATGGGGGGGTGGGGTAGGCGTGGAGGAGAGCTTGTGCTGTGTATGGTTTAATAGACAGTAGTTATGGAAGAAACTTTAGCTCCTAGCTGAAAATGTCCAAGATGTAACTGGGGGTTATCTGACTTTAGTATGGAAAGCATTAATGTAACTAGTCTATTGGCATGGAATCCACATTGGTCTGTGTGGTTCTGGCCACCTAGACTTTCTCTAGAGACTGGCAGCCACTGCAGTGGTCTATGGTAGGAAGGTAGAGAATTGTGTTACCCCATGAGGTAAATGGTGAGCTCAGAGTCTGATGGACCTGAGTTTGAATGTGTGTATTGTCATTTGCTGGTCAAAAACCACAAATCACCCACCTCTGTTGGCCTGTTTTTCTTATTGGTAGGAAGATGGTTATAATTCTAAATCCTGGGTTATTTAAGAGGCCCAAATAAGAGAATTTATATGAACATGCTTGAAAAAGACTATGCTGAAAAAATATTAAGGCTAATGTTGGAACAGTAGGTCAAAACCCATCTGGTCATCTCACTCCCTGCCTTAAAATCTTTCTATTGTACCATCTTGCTTGTAGCAAGACTGAGATCACAGTCTGATTAATATGTTCTGTATATTTTGGCTCATGACTCTATTTCGTGTTTCATCTCTTGTCATTCCTGCAAATTGTCCCTGTTACTTCATTTGAAGCATTAAGAGAACCGTCTGGTTCTCTTTGTCTTCTCTCTTATGTTTGAGTCTTTGATCATGTTCCTTTGATCTGACATGTCTTCCCCACCTCTCTTATCATAGTCTTACCCATCCTTTAGGACTTATGTGCACTTCTATGTCCCGTTAGAGACTTTCCTGTGTTCTCCAGGAAAGTGGAAGAAATTTTCTTTTCATTTGTCTCTGTTGGAACCTTGTTAATAGGGTGGTGAAAAAAGGAGACACTCCATGTTATTTTCTGTATTTCTGGTTCATAGTAGGTGCCTTGTAATGCTTATGGATTTAATAAATTGCTATTATTAGAAAATACGTAACTTGGCAAAAATCTGTCTGTGCTATCTCTGGCTACCTTGCGAAAGACACCTAGGCATAAGGATATTCTGGCAAATTGCTTATTCTAAACTTCATGATGCCATTATCTCTTCATTTCAGAGATATAACATTTTAAATAGATCACGGAGATTCAGGCTAGACTCTCTGATTTTCCCATATTTTAGACTCCGAGGTTGATCGGGATATTCAGAATTTAGCATTTGGGGATTGTCGTGGTAATTTGCTTGCCATTCCAATCTATTCTGAGCTAAAATTGATTAACACTCTTAAAAAGGGAAAAACAAAATTTAGCAAATTGCTGTACTAATTAAGGTGAAAGCAAGCCACTCCATCTCCCAGGGTCTTAGTGCCAACACCATGGGGAAAAAAAAACGGGAGAAGAGGAGTAGCAGCTGGCACGGAAGGATGTCTGTGCCTCCGCGCTTATCACTCTCCCTTCTCTGTGCCTGTCCTGTGCAAGCATACACCCATTGTTTATGAAGAAAGTACAAAGTGAGCTGGGAGTTGAAGTGCATGCCTATAATCCCTGCACTCAAGAGACTGACACAAGATGATCTTGAGTTTAAGGCTACTCTGGGCTACATAGTGAGACCCTGTCTCAAAACCAAATAAAAACAAAAACTCCATTCTCCTTTGAAGCCAAGGCCAAAGCCACATAGTACTTGAAACACTCTTGGTTGTGTGGCCTGATAAGTAATCTGCTGAACTAAGGTTTATGGGATGAGGAGCCATCAGCTGTATCTGTCTAGGGAACCCAGACCTTCTGTGAAGCTTGGATGAAGGAGAAGAAGAGAGTGAAGATAGGAACCCCAGTTTCCCTGGCCACTGTCATCCAGGTAGACCAGCTGTCCATTATTTTACATATTGGAGTCTTAATTAAAGGCTCTACAGCTTAAAAAGTAGTAGTAATTTTAAAAATACAATCTGATGTGTTCAAAAGGTTATTGTCTCTAGAGTTTTATCCTATAACCTAACCTGTACTACCAGCAATTCTATGGAAGATTCCTAACACGTGTGTATTTCTTCAGTAATTGATTACTTCTGCTTATATTCCTGAATTCCCTGAGGTTGTTGTCAGAATTCGTTAGGATAGTAAGTGTGAAAATGTCATACAGAATAGAATTTTTCCATATCAGTAATGATAACAGTGGAAATAATTTATGCATACTTCAGCTCAAAACAGCCACAGACGATCTGCCTATTCCCCTTCTGTTTAGCCCCATCCTGGCTCCTGGCAACATCACACACGTAGCTGCTCGTCTAGTACTGAGTTCCTCTCCGATGTGTCCCTTTCCTTCACATTATAATAACCACACAACTGGTTATTTCCCCTGTCTTCCTCCTAGTCCAGGAGTTTGTGGTCTTTCCCAGCACAATGGCAGCCTAGTTTCCAGCCTAGTCTCTTGCATTCTACTCTGCTCACATTTCCTCTCCCAAATCTGTTGTTAATCAGTAGCAAGAATTACTTTTCTAATAAGTAAATCTGCTCCTGCCACCCCTTTCCTAATGGTAAAATCTTCAGTGGTTTCCCAGTGCTCCTGAGACAGTGGTCACAATTGTACAGGTGATTTCTTCTTTCTGTTAAACAGTCTTACCCAGTTGCTAATTCCAAGTTCTTTTGCTGCATCGTTGTTTACTTAGGGATACCAAGAACTTTCCTCCTTCTACATCTCATATGGGTTCTTTTGTTATACATTCTCATAGGATCACACACATTTCTTCAGGAAACTCATCACAGAGTGTAATTTTTTATGTTATGATGTCCCGTAGCAGTAAACATCAGTCTCTCCCCTAGGCCTTAAACTCCACAGGGTCATGGTCACATCTGGTTTTCATCCCCCTTTTATGCTTAGTTATTAGTGTGGTGCCAGGTTATGAAGATGCTTTCTAAGTGAATTCAGAGCTGGTCCTGTTATGCCCTTGGTCCTTGGTGTGAAGCCAGGAATTTGCCTGCCTGTGACCCTACAGTGGGTAAATAAGACAGCTCCATGTGTAGCAGCTCAAGTCCCAAAAGCAGCCCTGTAATGGCTGAGGTATTTGTTTGTTTATTCATTAATGTATGTGTGTGTGTGTGTGTGTGTGTGTGTGTGTGTGTGTGTGATATTTGTTTGTTTTTTTGAGACAGGGTCTCACTATGTAGCCCACATTGGCCTTGAATTTGCTAGGTAACCCAGGCTAGTATTTTTCCATGACTGGTACATATGACAGGAAGGAGACACATTAAAATACCAATGTATAGGAGATGTCAAAGAAGAAGGAAGAACAGGAGGGAAACTGTTCTGCAGTTGTGTCATATAAGCACTTCAGGTGGTACCTGGGCAGACACACATTCCCTACCGATAAGGCTCTAAGAAATCACTTTGTACAGCTGTTGGAAATGGCATTTCTCAGAAATGCTCCTGTGGGCCCCTTATTATATTTGTTACTGCTGGAGATGAAGTAATAGGGAATAGGAAGTTTATGAGGGATTGGTGCATGATTAAAAATGAACTGTTGGAAATTCGCAGTGGACTGGTACACTTTTCTCCATAATGACCAATTAGTGTAAATTTGCAAATAGTGGTTGCTCAGTCTGCCTATCTCTGTAGCCTGCAAAAAACTCATTGGTCTTCCTGATGTTTTCATGGCCCGTTTATTTGCAGCCTCTAAGTACTCATATCAACAGGCTACCAACACTGAGGGATTCTCTGTGCTCTGAACTCTGCTCAAGATGTGCAGCTTGTAGCTCCAAATGTCCACAGAAGAGGAGGAGGGATAGGACTTATTTTGGTTTAGGGCTTTGTAGATGGCAACCTGCTATCACTCACTTCTCAGGAAAACCCCATGGGATGGAAAGAAGAGTTTGATGACCTCCCTCTCACAGATAATTCATAAACTGAAACACAGAATTGGAGAGTATTTGCCTAAGATCAGGCAGCTAATAAATGCCAAAGCTGATATTTGACTTTTCCCTTATGAAATGAAATGATATGAGATAGAGGATTGCATTATTCAGTAGACCCAGAAGTGTTTAGATCTGAAGGGTGTCTCTTTCCTGGTGCACTTGAAATCTAGTTTACTCTTTTCAGTAACCTTGGGGTCCATGGGGTTATGTTTCTATTGTTATTTACTTTGTTTCTTACGCTCTACCTGCTTCTCTCCTAAACTATCACAACAACTCTTGGGGTCCTCATTATACAGATAAAGGAAACTGAGGATTATAAAGATTAAATAATTCCCAAATCATGTAACTGTCTAACTCAACAATCCCTGATTTTACTTTCCCTTTCTATGGGTTGTATAAGCTATAGACCAAATATAATTCTGGCTAGACAATGCTCCTCTAAGCTCTCGGCACTGTTCCTTTTCTAGCTGTCCCTAAAGAATGAGTGCATTAAGCATGAAGCTTCCATTTAAAGGCATGCTGGGAACAGAGCGTCCCACTGGGGATAAAGGTGACCCATTCCAGGGATGCTGCTGAGGTTCAGGGTGGCCCCATTGCTACCATCCAAGGATTATGTTCTAAACCAGATGATCATCACTCTACACAGTTTGCTTTAAATCAGCAAAACATTCCTTGCCAGCCTTCAGACAAGACCCTGTATGTCTACCAGCCTTTAATCTTGCCCCATTTGGCTCAGAAAGTCACCCCCATGCCACCACTGGAGTATGGTTGATCCCGAGCTCATGATGGGAAGCCACTGGGGCAGTGGCTGTTTCATGATTCATCTGTCTAGCGGGGAGCCCTAATTTATCTCCTTTTCTCTTAGACCTGATGCTTGCTTGTTACTAACATCAGAAAGATTATGAAGTGGGATTCATGACCGTGGTACAGAAAATATTGATGGTTGACTCTGCAAATTGGCTTCCTACTCATTCTTAATTGCCTTTGTGCAGGTCTCTATGGAGTTTGCAAGGGTTTTCTTTAGATAACTGAAATCTTTCAGCCCCCTGCAGTCCTTTGGGAGCCTCAC